TCCTTCAAATATTGTACAGACAGCACCTACAAAGAAGGGATCAGATTCTCTGGATGTATTAATTATAGAAAAACATGCATAGTTATTATATAAAAAATTAGACGTCAGATTTTCCTTTACGAACACGCAATAGTGCTCCTCATAACTGTGGGTTTTTTCTAAAAGTGACGAAATCCGGACATCTAGTAAGCCTTTGACAAAGTAAGAGGCTTTAACAATCTCTTTGACAACAATTCAATTTAAGTAAACTTCAGGGCCATGTCCTCCTTCCTCCCTGAAATTAAATTGCATCATCGTGTCAGGTCGGATCAACCTTCGTTTCCAAGGAAGATGGGAACAACTGTAATTTGAGCCCTAAAGTAATTTCAATATCTGTAATTTCTAACGATCAAATGTTATTGTTTTTGATGTTTCCAAGTTGTCTAAGAGCAGTTTTCTCACCTTCAATAGTTATGTTGTTGTTTTTTTAACATTCCTTACAATTTATCCCCTTTTCGAATACAAAAAGAATCATGGATTTCAATGACTTTTTAGTAATATATAGGTAGATGAATAATCAACTATTGCAAATAAAGTTCCGAACAGAACTTAAAGCTCGGATTTGGATTAGTCGAGTTTTATCATGCATATATACACACAAGTAAACGCAAAAATACCAACAAAAAGCTTTGTGAATTAAATAAAGCTATTCTACAAGTTAAAATCAACTCATTTTGAACACATATAATAACTAAAACTCGTGATTTCACGCATTTTACATATCGTAAACTTCAAATCAAAAATTAAAAAACAAGCAGCGCTACGACCAATATCACATACAAAGTAAAAGTTGCTCTATTTTAAGCTTTTAAAAATGTATTGGATACACATATATGTATATAATCATTAGAGGTAGTATTGTTTTTATTTTACAATTTAATTTTCGACTCAATCCGAGAATTTTCGGTTCAATTCAACAAGTAAACAAAGCCGAATCGAAAGTTTTCGGATTGGCTTAAAAACTGAAACTGAACTGAACCGAACTGAACCGAACTGAACCAAACCGAAAATTTTTGGATTAGCCGAATCGCTTCAAATAACCATAACTGTGTGTATTATGAAATAAATATAATAAAATCTCCCTATTTATTATTATTCCATTTATTCTCGTTTTATTCATATTAATTAATATTAAAAAAAAAATTCCGAAAAAATCATAAGGAAAATTTCATTTTTATTTTCTGGAATAAAAGCGGAAAAATGTAATTTTTATTACTATTACTATTAATATTAATTACCATTACCATTACCATTAATTACCATTACCATTACCATTACTATTACTATTACTATTACTATTACTATTTTTCCAGAATTCCGGAATTTTTTTTTAAGGTCACTTTACTAATTTTACAAACTAATAGATAAGGAAAGACTGAAGCAAAATTCGTGTTTCTTTTTATAATAGTAATATTTCTGATTAAGTTCCGTCTTTTAAAAGTCCTTCGCTGGGAACAGGTATTGCAGATAGTTTTAAATAAACTTTCCGTCATTATCATTATTGGCAAAAAAAATTTTTTGCATTCCTGCTACTTACACCTATTTTAATTTGCTTTATTCTGATAAAGAAATAATGGACATGCAGTCAATTGATGTATAAAATATATAACAAACTCTATCAGAGATGTTATTGGGAACTGTATAACATCAAAAAAGGACCAAATATTATTTATTTGCTATTACAATTAAATTGGATAATAACCTGAACAATATAATGAATTAATAATATTCATGACTAACTAGTGTTCACATTGTTGATTGAGATAATTGAGATCAACCAAAATACGAAAAATTTGTTTTAAAATTTATAAATATTTGTGTTTATTCAAGATATTTATTATGAATATTAAAATATCACTTTTTATTTTTGGGCGGAAACTGTGCTATCACCATGATATTAAAAGCAAATTTTATTGGTTGGGAGGGTGTTGTTGTACCAGTTGCTGAAGAGGAATAATTAAGATTTCAGGTTATTTCAGGGTTACCTACCTCTGTTACACTAACCCGTCCCATTCTTTGTTTTGATTGGTAGAAATATGACTTTATTATCCTAAACAGGTGGTGTATTAGTAACCCAAGTGTATTATTGTAATAATAATAAAAAAAGCCATAGTTCCCTTACTTGGGTTGTAACCAGGTAACATACAAGTTCGATTCTGCAAAATTTTGATATTCACTATTGTTTATTGTATTAATTTGATGAATGGATTCTGTATTAATGATTTTTATAAAACGTACACACATACAATATTGATATTAAATTTTGACAAAAATAAATAACAATGATTGATAATAAATTACTTTATATTATTTCTTAATATTGTTGAACTATCTTAGCATTGAAATTTATGGGTTAATATTGTTTAAATGTCAAAGTCTTTAGGTTAGTATTGTTTAATTAATATATATATATGTACTTGACTTTTACAAAAGTAATGATAAAAAAAAATCTTCTGATTATTAATCATTTATTAAAGGGGGAAAAAAAAAAGAATAAACCATGGCAAAAGTAATAATAATGATAATATAATTTTCATTCGATTATTCTATTTTAATTTATTAATAATAATAAAAATATAAAAATATTTAGGTAATAATTAATATTGATAATCCAAAGTATCCATTAGTTGATGATCCTGAATTGGATAATTTTCAAAAGCAACATAATATTTTAAAATATGTTTGGCAAAGCAATTTCTCTTCTCCTGTTGAGCCCACTTTAAAATCTGGTGGAAAAGCCCTCGATGTTGGGTAATTAATTATAATAATTTAATCTAGCAATTGATGTTAACGGTTGATAGAATCAAATAACAATGGTTGATAGAATTAATAATTAGAAATTTTTTTTTAAATTCTTGCTGATTAATCAATTTGATTTGATAATTTAGATGCAGTGTTGGCATCTGGGCTGCAGATGTAGGTCAAGAATATCCTTCAGCCAGTATCACGGGTGTTGACATAGTACCTGATTTTCCCAAAGATCATCCTTCCAATGTGAAATTTGAAAAGGCCGATGTGCTAAAAGGGTTACCGTTTGAAGACAATAGTTTTGACTTGGTTCATCAAAAGTTTGGAGCCTTCGCGTTCACCGAACAACAATTTAAAGATAAGATTATCGATGAATATGTCAGAATCACAAAGCCCGGTGGTTGGATTGAACTGATGGTATTTGTTGTTATCATCTTTTTATCACATATATATTCATTCCACATATAAATAATATTTGTTTTTCCTCCAATTACTAGGAATTTGACCAAACAGTTGTTAATCCTGGCGAAACTTATAAAAAATTTCAAACAGCCGGTAAGTTCACTATGAACACATTTTATATTTTTCAATTTTTATTTATTTAAATTTGTAAATTTTTTAGCTCATGCCGCTACTTCTCACGGAGGACTCAATCCTGTTCCAAGTTCGTTTCTTCCTAAGTTGGTTGAATCTAACAAAGATTTGACCAACTACAAGTTCATAGAACATCAACATCCAATTGGTAAATGGGGAGGAAAACTTGGTGAATTGGTAAGTAAATAATCAAATATATATATACATGTTCTTTTTTTCTAGGTCTAATTATCATTATTATTATGTTTTCGCGTCTCTTAGACACTTAATGATTGGCTTGAGGTTTACAATGTTCATAAACCGACTTTAACTAGTGTGATGAATTGTTCCAGCGATGAGTATTCTGATATGCTAACACAATTTTCCAAAGAAATCGACGAACAAAAAACTTGTTGGGTAACTTATAGAATTTTTGCTCAAAAAAAATAAATTAATAATCAATTAATTAATACTTGTATAATTACGCCTGACTATATATATATCTCAATAGTAAATATAATTATATTATCATTATCATTATTAAAATTTGTTTGTTTTGAATGCCAGTTTAACGGATGATTACCAAAGATGTGGTTCGTGCTACGCTGTAACCACAAAAGGAATGAATGTACAGGAGCACTTTTTTCTTTTGTTTTTCCGTTGTGCTCCTTTATACTACGCGGAGAAATACGAGATCAGAACTTGTTTGTCAGACGATTAATTTAGTTAATATATATATGTTGATATTAAATTACGTCAAAAAAAATAACCCGTCAATTTATTAAAAATTACAAAGCGATCGCCGTTCTCCTTTAGATGGTTTTATATGTTGTGTGATTGTGTTTAAGATTGATGTGAAATTTCGTGATCTTTTTTCTGCGAATGCTCACGCCTTCCCCATAACAAGTAATAGTGACCAAAACATTTCTTTACAAGAAATTTCCAGTTTTAGTGATGCATATATTTGTATATGGATATGGATATTGGCATAGAGGGAGAGATTGTGTTGGAATCCTATTGTGTTAATTTAAATGAATGAATTAATAAATGAAGTAAGCAAGTAAGTAATAATAATGAATTTTCCCGTTCTTTTTGGTAAATACATTACCATTACAATAAATAAGATTATAGTCATCTAATAAATAAATAGATTAAAAAATTATTTTAAATAAGCCCAACCGAAAGTAGACCCATGTAACCCCCCCCCCCGCAGTAGGCATACAGTCTAAAATAAAAAAAGCTTAACTTAATTTGACCATCCAATAATAATGGATAATGTAATAATGTAACCATTTTAAGACATCCGTCCAATATAGCAAAAAAAAAAAAAAAATAAAAATCGTTTTATAAATTAAATGGTCTTTATTATTATCGCTTTCTTCTTCAATCAAGAAGAAAACACAATAACAATAATAAATTAAATTTTCCAATTTCGATATGCTTATTAGAATTTTATTATAATATAATAAATTAAACTAAATTTTAAAATTTAAATAAGAAAGTTATTTACAACAAAACCCCGTCTTTAATAATAATAATAATAATAATAATAAAATAAATAATAATAATAATATTAAGCAGATTTTGATTGTAATAAACATATTTGACAACAAATATATAAATAATCAACTTACTATAAGATGCCTCCAACACAAATCCAATCTAATTCAGTAATAAATTCACACAATATTAATAACAATCATCAAGTTGACTTTCCTGTTGACTCCATTATAAGCGAACCTAAACTCTATGTAAGTGACTTACAATTTAGTATCACTGAAAATGAACTTCGTGACTTATTTGAGGACATTCAACCCACAAGGTTAGTTTCTTATTCATTGCCCTTTTTATGTTAAATAAAACGTTAATTAACTAATTAACTAAATTTGCTTATTTTGAAAATTTTATAAATAATAAAAAGCGTCCAAATCAATCGATTGCCAGGGAATGCTCCACATACTGCTGTGATTACTTTTGCTACAATAGACCATGGTAATAATATTAATATTACAAATAATATCACAATTATTATTGTCATCATTCTAAATAAATATTAAAAATTATATTTTTATAATTATAATTTTTGTAGCTGAGAAAGCATTTGCTATTTATAATCATAGTAAATTGGACGCATATAATACTTATTTAAGCCTACATATTAATGACCCAACCTCTGGAATTTATGACCTACAAACACAAACAAATGCCCTTATTTTACATGTCAGACAATTAAGTACAACCAACACGAATATTAGCTTGTTCAATATATTTAGACCTTATGGGCCTTTGTTTTCCGTTAGGATGCAAGTCCAAGATAACAAATTTAAAGGTTCTGCTTTCGTACAATATTTTAGAAAAGAAGATGCCGATAAAGCTGTTGCTAATCTGGTATGTTATATTTTTATTTATCTTGATTTGGTTTCATTCTATTTTGATTTTATTTTTTGATTTTACTTTTGTTTTTTTTTTTTTTTTGGTAGAATTCTAAGGATAATAAAGCAATGTAAGTGCTTCTTTCTCCTCCCTTCCCCCTTCTCTTAATTTATATTTATTTATTATGAATATGTTTAAAATAGGATTGTTCAATATCATCGTCATAATAACAATAAAGCTCCAAATCGTTCAAATTCTAACAATAACAACAACAATAACAAATCTATGGGTGTGGTAAGTAATAATTTTAATGATAATAATGATGTTGTTTTTTTTTTTTCAAACAATATTTTCTCATCTCTTATCCTCTTCTCTCAATAATATTATAATATTAGCCGGTCCCACCATACACACTTCCAATCAATTACAATAATAGTAACAGCAATAATCATCATCAAAATAATCAACAACATCAACAACAACCACATCAACATCACAATCCACAACAATTACCACAACAACCACAACAACAACCACAAGGTCCTACTTCACCTGGTCCCGAAGGTCCTATCGTAGATCCATGTAATTTATTCATTAAAAACCTCGACTCGAATATTTCCAGTAGTGATCTTTTTAGCCAATTTCGTAGATTTGGTAAAATTATTAGTGCTCGTGTAATGCGAGACCAAGAAACCGGCAATTCTAAAGGATTTGGTTTTGTTAGTTATTCCAGTTCTGAAGAAGCTGACAAAGCTAAACAATCTATGCACGGTAAAACTCTTGGTGCTAAACCAATTGTTGTAAGACTTCACGAACCTAAAAAATTACGTGAGGCTAAATTGGCAAATCAATTCAGCCCTAACACCGGTGGTAGTGGTATTATCAGCAATAACAACAATATTATCAATAATAACAATCTTGGTGGTGGTGGTGGTGGTGGTGGCGGTGGACCAATCTCACCTTCATCATCCAACAATAATATTAATAAGAATGATAACAACAATAAAATCTCCCTATTTATTATTATTCCATTTATTCTCGTTTTATTCATATTAATTAATATTAAAAAAAAAATTCC